AGAATGGATGCTGGGGAGAAAAGGAGGCTGGGAAAGGGTAGGGCGACTCGTATGGAGCGGGGCAAAAGGGGGAAAGGGGAGTACTACTGAACAAGAATATCGAGGCAACAATTTTTGCACTTAACTCCATACACTCCGTGTCGAGTAATGCGAGCTGTTATTCTCTCTCGACATTTTCATTTAGACATTTTTCGATGATTCTCATTTGAATCGATGAACGACTGATGCCAATGCCTCTTGCTGGGGCTCAATGTAATGTGGAATGACTGCATCGTTTTGTGGGAGAGGTTTTTACGATTACTACGACGTAAGAGAATGTCATGGAGGCACCTGTTTCTTTCTGGAGAGCATTGAGCTCACGGTGCCCCAGTGGCACAGTACAGCCGTGATCAATGTGTCTGGGTTGATGGCAATTTCATATGCACGAAAAAATAATTGTAAAATCTGGCGAATTTCTTTATGGAAAATTCTGATGGAATGTTTATTGAAGGTCTAGTGGTTCTGGGGGGATTTGGGTGGTTTTTGTTGGAGAATTTCGAAGGTATCACGCGTTTTTCGAGCGAAAATGTCCAATAGAAATTATTTAACGGGAAAAGTCACTGAAATTTCATTTTTATAGAGATATTTTCTAGAGGAATTCTTCGACATGAATTCTCCGATTTTTTTTCAATCTGTTTTTCTTTCCTTTCCATAAAAAAAATTAAACAGAAAAAATTCTATAGAAAATATCTCAACAGAATAATTTCTATAGAAAAATAGATTTTTTTTGGATTTCTATTGAACTGTTATTGAAAATTCTATTACTGTTCGAAAAATTATTTTATAGAACAAGTCTAGAATTTTATTTTTCTATCGAACTTTTTCTATTGAAATATTTTCTATACGAATTCCTCGACATGAATTGTCTAATTCTTTTCCACTATTTCCCTTCCCTTCCATTAAAAAAAATCCATAGAAAAAATCCCACTAAAATAATTTCTCCAGAAAAATCGAATTCCATTTTCTATTCATCTCCCTTTTTAAATAAAAAAATTGACCGCGGAATTTCGCATAAAAAAATATTTCCAACGAATAAACAACTTCAGCCATGTGTTTTTCTCTCCAAACCATTCACCTCGCTGAGAAGAAAAAAATTAAACGAGTACAACCGTGAATTGTGTAAATTGCAGTCTAACAAAACACTATTGTGAACATGAAAATAATTCTAATGTGAGAGTTGGCCTGGGGTCCGGTCATTCCCAGGTCAATTTCACCCTCGAATTGAATTAAAAGTCTAATTGAATTATTTATATTCGAATTAATGAACGTAATGACTGCTCTGAGATGATAGATACACGAATAAATTATTAAAATTAATGTGTGCCATTGTTGCGATTCAACAAAAATCATCATAGTCATCATATTTGCCGTGTCCGCGAGTTATGTCTGCGATGTACGAGGGATTGGAATTTCATTCCCTGTTATCAACTTGTGGGCGGTGTTATTCGTTGAATTTCCCGGTTATTTGTTTGGGGTAAACTCGAGTTCGTTTACCTATATACATTGCGCTGAGGAGCGTATCTCGTTGTGTACACGGTAATTGATAAAAATACTCATTCTCTTATCGCGAGTGTAAACCATGTAGCGTAGTTTCTAACAATGATCTCATCGAAAAGTGAAGTTTACGAGACATTTCCGCCTTTGAAAAATATAGTAGACTTGATGTGATGTATGCTATGGAGCCAAGTACATAAATTTTTAAGGTAATCATTGCTTGAATGGTGAAAAGAAACGTTTCAAATAAATCATTTATACAAAGAATAAATTATTTATAAATAAATAAATTAATATAATAAGATTAATCACTTAATAATATTATTAATCATTATTAATGTTAATAACAATTTAATAATAATTTTATAAATAAATTAATAATAATTAATTTAATAACGATAAAATTATTATTAATTTATTCATTTTTAATTAATAATTAAATAAATAAATATTATTTATAAATAAATGAATACATTTGTTTATAAATAATTTAGATATAAAAAATAATTTATAAACAATGAATGTTTAAAAAAATATATAATTCCGCGCAAAATGTCATTTTAAACTCTTAAAAAACACGATATTATCGAACAAAAAAAAGTAATTATTATCATCAAACAATTTACAACTGAATGACAACTCTCGTCTTCCCAACCCAATGCACATCCCACATAACCATCGACTAATTCCTCCAATTAATCTAATTACAATCGTTAAATACGTGTGAAGGTGGCCGGGCGCAGGTCCTCCTCCAGACGTTACAATTTCTCTATCACAGCTAATCCCCAACACCTGACGTGTTAAAAGCCTCCCATGATTTCCCGTTTCCTTCGTCGGAATCTTGACTTCATGACTCATACGTGACCAACGGCTTCATCGTCATCGTCCCCTGGTCTACCCCTCACCCGCAATTGCGCAATTAATAAATTAATAAATCCCCCAATTAATACGCCGACGATACCCCCGGGGATATCGCACTTGCCCCGAATTATTTCGGCGATAAGATAGTCCGAGCGAACCCCTCGGCGATAAAAACCACGCCTCAGCATACGCGACATTGAATAAATACATAAAGGACGATTCACAGAACGAGTGCCTGAGTGATGACGACCATCTGAGTTGATGTAAGTTTAGCAGGCGAAATACCCAGGTATTAAATGCGCCCAGTGAATTTATTAATTAATTTACGAATTGATTAATTATTTAATTCGTAATAATTACTACGAATTAATACGAATTATTACGAATAAAATAAAATAAATAATTCGAATAATTATTACGAATTAATTAATTGTTTATTTCGTTTTATTAAATTGAATAAGATTTCTTTTCAACTAATTTACTCATCATCGTTATTCTCATTATCCCTTTCTTCCACACAACCGATTGTATTTTTTACAGTTCTATCTCTCCCCTCAGCCCTTCGATAAAATGTTAATAGAAAAATTTTATTTACACATACTTGAATGAATTTGAAACATCACATTTGAAGAAATCATCGAAAAGCTCACTCTCAGGGAAATTCACGACAAATTCTAAATTTTCAACAACATCGTAAAAATCAAATTAAGCAATATAGCTATCGTAATCATCTTTTAACTTGGACTTAATGACATTAAAATAAACATTTTAAAGTATGATTAAAGTCATTTGAAGCATGATATTCAAAGATATCCCCGGAATTCTGATTTTCAAAAAATACAAAATTTTTGCAAATTTACAAATTAATCAAAATAACGATTATTGCTATCGCCTTCATCTTCGAACTCGGTCAAAAGGACATTCAAACAAATTTTTTAAGCCACCATTCAATCAATTCCGAACGTTTTTTTTTAGTTATCGTGGGACAACCGATTTTCGCAAAAAATCGAAAATTGAAAAATCTACTCGATGAATTAAATTTGAATTAAAGGTGATCGATAGGGCTAAAAATACCTACATTTGAAAGAAAAAGATTCAATTCCATCCATTCATTAGCGACGAATTGAAGACAAATTTAAGTAAAAATCAGTAGCGAAGTGGTAAAACGGTTTGTCCACTCATCTCCCAGTTGAGTTTTTGGGGAATATTTCCGAATCTAAGGGAGATAGCGAAATATCCGTAATTACATTTGTTGTAGCACTCAATCGGCTCTACAAAAAAGGTTATAACACAAATTTTGTTATCTCCCTTAGATACCGAGATATTCATTGAAAACCGGTCAATAGTCAAAATTAAGTTGTACCATTTTACCACTTCACTTAGAAAACCTCTGCACACATGATTATTTGACCCTCCTCCCCTTAAATATCCCCTAAATTGAATGAAGCTGAAGCTAGCAGACCATTCATCAGCGGAAAATTCAATTTAGGGGATATCCAAGCGTAGGAGAGTCAAATAATCATATATACAAATGTTTTTTAAGTGCGAAAGAGTTTGTACATTGCTTTAAAAAATTTGTGAACCCCTAGATTCGCCAAACATCAAATGACAAATCAAACAAGATGACAAATCTTCTGCTGTCGAATCCTTCGCTAGTTTCAGCTTCATTAACACCTGAAGTTTTAAAACCCTACGATTTCCCATTCTCATCCTCAAACTCCTGACTCCATGACTCACAATACGTAACCAAGCTTCATCATCGCCCCCCCCCCCCC